TTACATGTCCTAAGTATTTCGTTGATGTCTTGAAGAACTCGCACTCTTAACAGTGATAATTCTTAGGTTTGCTTCGCGAAGTCGTCTTAACACTGTACTTAGGTTTTCTTTGTGTTCCTCGTAGCTGTTGCCCGTGACGATTATATCATCCAAATATGCAAAAGCGTAAGGTTCTAAATCCACCCCTATTACTCGATCTAACGCCCGTTGAAAAAGGGCGGGCGCGGAATGTAGGCCAAAAGGCATTACTTTCCATTGAAATAATCCGCGACCGGGCACAGTGAAGGCTGTATATTGTTTACTACCTTGTTCCATTGGGATTTGCCAGTATCCATCGCGAAGGTCCAGACTGCTGATATATTTGGCATTCCTTAACCTATCTAAAATGTGGTGAATGCGAGGTAGAGGGTAAGCATCGGGGAATGATTGTGTGTTTAGTTGGCGATAGTCTATACAGAACCTCCACTTGCCATTCTTCTTCCGTACCAACACGATTGGGGCATTGCATGCGCTTCTCGACTGTTCGATGTAATCGTTCTTTAATATCTCGTTAACATGTTCATTGATGATTGCTTGCATCACCGGATTGCGTGGGTGATATTGTTGTTTGATGGGTTGCTCGTGACGCATGATAATGCGATGTTCCGTGATGTTACTGGGTCCTTTAATCTGTGAGAACTTATCTAATTCCGGTTTCAAAAATTCCTTGAATTTTACCTCCATTGTCCTTTGTTTTGATGTTGATACTTGTATGGTGTTTGCTACCGTAGTCCCGGGTTTGTGATATCTAAACTGTAAATTTTGGCCTCCGCAGGTTAGTGAGGCTCTCATAGCAGCCAAGAAGTCCAGTCCCAAAATTACCTCATCGATCAGGTTTGGTAGTAGAATTAATCTTTACTGTGTAGTTCTTGTCCCGAGCATGATAGATGTTGCCATTTGTTGCTTGGTGGAGTGTTGTCCGCCATCCGCCATACGTACTTGTGTAGGTTCAGAGTTACGGATGATTTTTCCCTTAAGTTTTGCTGCTGTTTGCGAATTGATGAAATTTCGCGAGGATCCTGTATCGATCGTTGCTTTTATGATTTGTTGATTAATAGTTACTTGGGCCGACAGACGTGATTCACTGAGCTTCATGCATCCTACTGGTGGGACGGGGCGTTGTCTTGTGGTCTCATCGCCCCGTTCTGTCGATGGACCCTGACCTCGTTTCCTTGGTTCCTGCAGCAATCAATTGTACGTTTTCCTCTTTTCACGCATTCCCAGCAAAATAAGATGCTTGTAAAACGACAATTCCACCTCAAGTGTCCTTGTTGCCCGCAACGACGACAAGCTGTCCTGACATCTTTGATCTTGTCTTCAGACGCATCAATTACACTTGCTTTGATCTCCTTAGCTGGTACCGTATTTCTTACTTGACGGTCTGTAGCTGTCAGTGCCTCCAGGTCCCCAGCTAATGTCAACATGATGTTCTGCAGTGCTAATACATAATGTCTGAACAGTTCCCTGTGTTGTTGCAGGCGGGCTCGTATTTTGTCCTCTAATTGTTCGAAGTATCTTGGGGTCAAGAAGAATGCTAATATTTCTGCTTTGAATGATGGCCACTCGGTCCATCGCTTGTTGTTATTCCTGAACCAGATCAGTGCCTTGTCTTTTAGTACTTCAGGCATTAGCTTCGGTAATAAGTCCCTATGTATACCATACATATCCGCCAGTTCCTCGATCCGTTATATAAATGGTAGTATTTCGTGTTCCCCTGAGTAGTGGCATCCCCATTTTCTGACTTGATTGATTATCACTGGATATTCTGCCATGGTTACACTTCTTCTCTTAGTTATCGAAGGACGTCTATTTTCAATGACTCCCGGTGATGAGCTTCTGATATGTGGTTTAGCGAGTTCCTGTAGCCGGGCGGTATCTTTCTCAGCTTCTCTTAGTTATCGAAGGACGTCTATTTTCAATGACTCCCGGTGATGAGCTTCTGATATGTGGTTTAGCGAGTTCCTGTAGCCGGGCGGTATCTTTCTCAGCTGCCTCTGAGTCCATGAACGTTGAAAGTTTTTTCCGAAGTTCCTCTAGTGAACCACTTGGATCTAATCCGAACTCGTCTGCGTAACTCACCAGTTCCTCCTTTTAAGCGAAATAAATCCAAGATTTACCTCCTGATGTTAATCGTTTGTCGAAGCGTCTGCTGTTTTACGGCCTGCTTGTCCTGTCACTTCCTTGATTCCTGATGGTACCACCGTTGGTTTGTCTTCCATACTCAACTGAAGATGTTGGTCAGTTTTGCTCCCACTGTCCCTGCTTGGGCGTCAATTGTAACGAACCTTTCTGGCCGGGGTTTTGCTCGCCGGATTCCAGGTCCAGTCCTACAATAAATTTATTTGATAGGAACAGTGGAAAGTGTGAATACACGGTGGACGGTGACGTTGGTGCGATGATGTGGTTACCTTCTTCATATCTGACCTTCCTCATATCGGTCAGATATGAATTGATAGTAATAGAAATTTGTATTTCTATTACTACTAACGAAATGTTAATTTCGTTATTATTAATCATTTTTAATAGAAATGTGTATTTCTATTAAAAATAAAAAAAAAATAGGAATCGAGATAAAATGGGAAACACTATAAATACTTTACCAGTAACACATAAAATGATCACATATGAAACAGCAAAGGATCCAATTCTAAAACAAATAATATATTATATTACAAATGGTTGGCCTAACAAAACAATAAATAATAGAGAATTACAAGCATTTTTACACAGGAAAAATGAGTTATCATTAATAAATGAATGTGTTGTGTACGGTGAACGTATTGTTATTCCACAAGTCTACAAAAAACGTGTACTTAAACAATTACATCGTGGTCATCAAGGTATTGAGCGTACCAAGGCATTAGCACGGAGTTTTGTATATTGGCCAAACATTGATACTGATATAAAAACATTTATTCAAAATTGCAATCAATGTGCAAATGCAGCAAAGATGCCTACGAAAACATTACTTCATTCTTGGCCCACACCAAGCGAACAGTGGGAGCGGGTGCATATAGACTATGCTGGACCGATAGAAGGATGGTATTTTTTGGTCATTGTCGACGCATATTCAAAGTGGCCGGAAATTGTTCAAACAAAAGCAATGTCATCACAAGCAACCGTGAATATTTTAAATGATATTTTTGCCCGATTTGGTCTGCCAAAAACAATCGTATCAGATAATGGAACACAGTTTCGTAGTGAACATTTTGAACAATTCTTAAAACATAACGGCGTTGAACATCTATATTCCAGCCCTTACTATCCAATGTCGAATGGTCAAGCTGAAAGGTTTGTAGACACTTTCAAAAGATCTTTAAAAAAATTAGAAGGAGAGGGGACGATCACACAAAATTTATGCACATTTGTTCAGACATATCGTTCAACACCGAATGTAAACTCACCAGAGAAGCGATCTCCAGCAGAAGTCATGTTCGGAAGGAAAATGAGAATAAATTTAGATTTGCTGCAGCCAAAAAAGCTACACAATGCAAAGTTAAGTCCAAATAAATTCAAAATGGAAAAGCAATTTAACAAAAGGCACGGTGCCAAGGAAATAAAATACTTTCCATCAGATAAAATTTACGCCAACATTCCAAATGGAGTTAACCGTTTCAAATGGATGCCTGGGGAAGTCATTGAGGAAAAAGGAAAAGTAATGTACAATATTATTCTGAACAATGGAAAATTAATTCGAATTCATTGTAATCAATTACGAAAGCGCTACCACGATCAAAATAATAACCACAGGTTTTGGGAAGCTGCACTAGATGTGTATGACTTACCGCAACAATCAGATCAGTTTACAAAAGCACTCAACAATCAGACACTGCCTAATATTCTACCACTATCGACATCGCCAACCGAGTTACCCATAATGCCTACAACAATTTTAACACCTACATCACCTGTTCTTCGTAGGACAACACGTAATCGCAAAGCAGTCACTAGGTTTCAACCACAGTAAAACATTTCGAAAAGGGAAGGTGTTACGATATAAAATCAATTATCGTAACGAGATGGCATCACTAAGGTGATCAGCTGTTTTGGAGCATGCGAAGCGAAGATAGATAGAAAAAGCGCGTGCACATGTAATAATTAATTGATAATTGAATAAATGATTTTGAATAAATAAAATAGAATTATCTAAACACAGAAATATAACAGTAATTTTTTTTTCTAGGAGATATGGACCCATGGGGTTTTGAGAATTGGCATTGTAGACACATTTTCAAATGGCCATATCTCAAGTTCTATAAAAGGTAGAAACTTGAAATTTATTGCGTTTTAAAGATAATTGGTTGAACTTTTAAGAAATTGTTTAAACAATTAAGATTGTTTATATTTAAGTACTAATATTAACCGTTAAATTTCAAAAAAAAAGATACCTCAAAACGGTACGCAACATTTTTCATTTTTTATATTTTATTTAGATTCAGTTTTAAATTTTACTAAGAAAACAAAATTTTCATGATGGCACCAATTTTTATACATTTTTCAAATTTTTTTTTTTTCTCATAAAACAAATCAAACACACGCGTGCTATATTTACATTGAATGATTTTTCAAAAAATATACTACAAATATTCTTATATAATATTTTTGATTTCAATTAGTAATAAAATTGTACATAAAACCCCTTGCTAGGTAGTCACCTTGTCGTGGTGTAGGGGCTTATTGTGGACTGAAGCATGTCATATGGAAGTCATGACATGATGATTTTTCATGTGACATGATTCAGCACACAAACTAAGAACTGCCGCCAACGCACAGGTTGAAAGTAGGTATCTACGATTCCTGATCAGTCGTTGAGGCTAGCTAGTGGACTTTAATGGACACTTGCTAATTGGTCAGTCCTATAGGAAAGTGCGGCTATCTATCAGACCAATGACTCGCCTTCAGTACGGTCATGTCTCTGCTGTTTGTGGGTCGCCGATAGTCGGGCGGGGGAGAAGGAAAACTCCCTAGGGCAGGGTCTGTACATATTCTAGGCTCCCAAGGCTAGGTCTTGATAGACTGGAATATGAACATACCTATTGCCCCAAACAAACCCCCTAAACTCACAGTGGAACAGCTATGCTGGTGAACTTGCTTGACAGGGTAGAGTCAAGCTTAATAGCGAACTCCGTACCAGGTCTGGCAAACCTACGGTTTCAATTTGTCCTTCCCATGGGGGCGCTCATGGGTGACCAACCTGCACGGTTTATTTAAACTTACTTTGTATGGAACAAAATAACATTTTCAATTCTATGGACTGCACACCTTTAAATGTGCAAAATATGGTTTTACAAAGCCAAAACTTATCACTGAACGAGGGGGCACCTGGTACCATCGTCAGTGAACAAATGGACCACGACTTGTTGGAGAGGGCACCTGGTCCTCTACCCGACAAGCCGGAGGAAATGGACATTCCACTTAGCCAAGAGTCGGCTGGGATGTCTATCTCCTCGGAACAGGAGAGAGATCTTCTGGAGCCTGGTCTAACTAAAAAGACTCAAACGAGGGTGAAGCTATCCGGCGCTGGACGCAAAAGGTTGAAGGCTTTACTTGCCAAGGGCATCCCGCTGGAAACAGCAAGGTCCTTGGCAGTAAAGCCGGCCACTGCGACTAACGAAGGGCAGGCAACACCAAAAAGATCCCGATCGGACAGCTCTACACCAACATCAAGCTCAAAACCGACAAAGCGGATTGCACTACAGGGCAAGAAAGTTGATAATAAATCAACAGTGCCTGCAACTGCTTTGCCGATTTTCAGTAGGATGAAGGAAGTAGAGACCTCACACGGGGGCAAACCTGGTCCCAGTAAAGAGGTGGCGACGGTATCTGTGGGGCAGGCTAAACACAGTACTTCTTCCGAAGACCATTGTTCAAAGCCTACCCTAGCAGAGACTGTTCGCTCTAAGAAGATCGGTATACTACCGCATAATTTCCCAGAGGGCATTTGGTCCAATGAGGAAATTGGCAAGGTGCAGAAATGCATCCTCGACAAGATGTACGAAACTTGTCGAGCTCCTGGGGTGAAGCCTCATTTCGCCGGTTACAGTCTAAAGCCCGGATGGTTTACCATTAATTGTCTGGACGACGAGACTGTAACTTGGTCTAAAGAGACAATCCCAGCCTTGAAGCCGTGGGAAGGAGCCCAGCTGAAGGTAGTGGACGAGACAGAAGTGCCAAAGTCTGAAATCTATGTTGGCTACTTCCCAGGCTCAGCTTCCTGGCAAAGCGACCGTATTCTGGGACAAATTGAGTGCCAAAATTCGGGCATGCGTGTCAGGGACTGGAGGGTACTCCACAGGCTCAATAAGGGCGATATCGTCGAGATGGCGATTGCTCTGGATCCTATGTCGTCCGAAATGGTCGGAAAGCTGGGCAATAAAGTCTTCTATGGACTTAGCAGTGCCGTGCTGAGACCAAAACATAAAGGAAACAGAGCAAGGAAGTGGTTGAAGATGAGCGACCAACAACATCTGCGGCTTGTGCTCAGTCAAGCAACCAGAAGCCGAAAACGGGTCTCAATTCCGGGGGACCACCCTTGAGAGGGGGCAGAATCCGTGCCCAGGGCCGAAAACCTTCCGCTCTCTCTGGTCGTCTGAGGAAATGGGAAAGAAAAGACCCGGAGGCCGCGGAATTGCTGCGCGGTACGAAGGGCGGCAAGGTCCGCAAGGGCCAGTCTGGGATATAATGTCCCGGACTGCGCCACATCCGCAAAACTCTTGGAGGCAACTTCATTGCCTCCAAATCAACCTCCACCGGGCTATAGCAGCTTCATACAGGCTCAGTGCCCTGGTGGAACAACACTGTCTGGATTTTGTGGCCATCCAAGAACCATGGGCCACAAAGGGGCGCATAAACGGTCTACAGACAAAAACGTGTAAGTTAATCTATGATAATAATGTTGATCGTCCTAGAACGGCGATAATGATTAACAAAACCATTAAATCTCTTCCAATTACAGAGCTTATACAGCGTGATCTGGTGGCGGTACAGGCAGAAGTGCCTAGTACTAGGGGGACGAGAATAATAGTTTTTGCATCTCTGTACCTCCCTGGCGACGCAGAGGAAGCGGTGTCTCTCGAGCTCCAGCAGCTTACAGAATACTGCCGTATCCGAAACCTACAGTGGGTAATGTGCTGCGACGCCAACGCACACCATACAGTATGGGGAAGCACAGACATCAATACACGAGGTGAGTCACTTTTTGATTATATCACAACTAACAATTTAATGGTAGTTAATAAAGGTAACGAACCTACTTTTGTAAATGCGATAAGGGAAGAGGTATTAGATCTCACTTTAGCAAGTGCATTTATATCAAATAACATTTCAAATTGGAGGGTGTTAGAGGAGAACTCCTTATCAGATCACAAATATATACGCTTTGATTTGGAAGGGGAAGTTGAAGACACTTTCGAAATAAGAAATGTTAGGAAGGCCAACTGGTCTCTATATAACTTCTATTTAGAACAAAACATTAGTTGTCTTGGGAATAGGATTACTAATTGTCAGGAACTAAATCTTGAGGTTAACAAACTAGAAAATATTATTACAGGGGCTTTTGAAAATAGCTGCGAACTTATCAAAAAGAAACGTTCTAGGAAAGTCCCATGGTGGAATAGAGAACTAGATATTTTACGCAAAAAAGCCCGCCAGCTCCTTAATAGAGCCAAGTCCAATGGGGACTGGGCATCTTACAAGTGTGCCTTAACGGCTTACAATAGGGAATTGAGGAAATCAAAGAGGGAATCATGGAGGAGGCACTGCGAGGAGATTGAAACACTTCCTGCGGCTGCGAGACTCCAGAAATCTCTAAATAAAGACCACTCAAATAGCCTCTCTACATTAAAGAAGGCTGACGGAAGCTTTACGGTAAGTCTGGAAGAAACGGGACAGCTTTTGCTGGACACTCATTTTCCAGGCTGCGCCATGTATACTGAGACTACGGAAACCATCGAGGATACTCGTTTCTTATTGGTTACACGAAGGGATCTTTCACTGGCCCGTAAAATCTTTACAGTCAATAAAACTAAATGGGCCATTTCCACTTTCAGCCCGTTTAAATCACCTGGTATCGATAATATACAACCGTGCCTTCTTCAGAAAGGCGTTGATATATTAGCACCGATATTAACAAACTTATTTAGGATAAGTCTAGAATTAGGCGTAATACCTAAACATTGGACGAAGGCTAGGGTAGCTTTCATACCGAAAGCAGGCAAAAAGGCGGACCACACGCCAAAAGCTTTTCGGCCCATTAGCCTTACTTCTTTCCTGCTTAAAGCAATGGAGAAGATTCTAGATCAATAGATCAGGGAAGTCTATATTAAAGCTTCACCTCTACATATTGAACAGTATGCTTATCAGTCGGGCAAATCGACCGACACCGCTATACATAGTCTGACGAGTAAAATCGAGAAGGCTTTAGACGGTAAGGAAATAGCTCTCTGCACATCGGTTGACATTACAGGAGCTTTTGATAATGCAACATTCAGATCAATTGAGGCAGGAATGGTCAGGAAAGGAATACATAGACTGATCATAACATGGATTCTCAATATGCTGAAAAATAGGACGATAATCTTTGAAATGGGGACGAAGAGATTAACTGTCAAGTCAACCAAAGGATGTCCTCAAGGAGGCGTTCTTTCGCCACTCCTATGGCTATTGGTCATTGACGAACTCCTACAGTCTCTTGGTGACCTCGGATATGAAGTTCAGGGCTTTGCAGATGATCTAGTCATCATGGTTAGAGGCAAATTTGACTCCACCATATCCGATCGTATGCAACTAGCTCTTGATATCACTCAAAATTGGTGTCAAGAGAAAGGACTCTCGATTAATCCGAATAAAACAAATGTAGTACCCTTCACCAGAAGAAGGAAGATGAATCTAGGGACCTTAAAGTTAGGGGACACTGACTTAATA